CAAACAAAAGGAATCCAAAGAGGACCACACCAAGACACATCATAATTAAGATGCCAAGGGTTAAAGACAAAGGGAGAATCTTAAAAGCAGCAAAAGAAAAGCAGTTAGTTACCTACAAGGGAGCACCCATACGACTGTCAGCTGATTTCTCAATAGAAATTTTGCAGGCCAGAAGGGAGTCGCAAGAAATATTCCAAGTGATGAATAGCAAGGACCTACAACCGAGATTACTCTACCCAGCAAAGCTATCATTCAGAATTGAAGGTCAGATAAAGAGCTTCACAGATAAGAAAAAGCTAAAGGAGTTCATCACCACCAAACCAGTATTATATAAAATGTTGAAGGGCATTCTTTAAGAAGAGGAGGAAGAGAGGGGGAGGGGAAATGAGAGAAAGAGGGGGAGAAAGGGGGAGGAGGAGAAAGGATAAAAATATGAACAATAAAATGGCATAAATACATATCTATCACCAATTGTACCTAAACATAAAAATAAACGAACAAGGAATCTAATGAACAAAATAAACTGATGCATAAAATGGAGCAGAGGCATGGAAACATGGAACAGACTGATGGATCTCAGAGGGAAGGGGGCGGGGTGTGGAGGAGCAGGAGAGATTAAGCAAAGATCTTATATGAATACTAGAGGTCCGATGCATGAAAATCATGCAAGAGTAGGCCTTCCTTCCCCCGGCTGCCGGCCCCAGCTTCCTTCTGGCACCCAGGACCCAGGTTTCCCTGTGGCCTCCAGTAGGCACCTGGGACCAGGGCTTCCCTGGCAGCATGGGCTTTGCCCAGTAGCTCATCTGGTTTAATTAGCATATTATGCTTTTATTATTATAGATATACTAGAGGCCCGGTGCACAAAATTTGTGCAAAAAAATTCGAGTGTGTGTGTGTGTGTGTGTGAGGGTCCTCAGCCCAGCCTGAAATCTCTCCAATCCGGGACCCCTCGGGGGATGTCTGACTGCTGATTTAGGCCTGATCCCACTAAACCAGTAGTTGGATATCCCTCTTGCAATCTGGGACAATTGCTCCTAACTATTCACCTGCCTGCCTGTGTGATCACCCCAAAGCAAGCACTCTGCCTGCTTGCCTGATGTCCCTACTGCTCCCCTGCCAGCCTGATTGCCCTAATTGCTCTCCCCTGCTGGCCTGATCACCCCTAACTGCCTCTGCCTCGGCCCCGCCACCGTGGCTTTGTCCAGAAGGACGTCCAGTCTAATTAGCATATTACCCTTTTATTAGTATAGATACAGACAATGGAGTGACGAAGGCCTGGGCAGGGCAGGAACTGGGTAGAGGGGAGAAATGGGGGGAGGGGACAGAGAGGAGGGAACATCTGTAATACTCTCAACAATGAAGATTAAAAAAGAAAATCAACCATGCCCTAGCCAGTTTGGCTCAGTGGAGAGAGGGTCGGCCTGTGGACTGAAGGGTCCCGGGTTCGATTCCAGTCAAGGGCATGTATCTTGGTTGCAGGCTCCTCCCTTGCCCGGGCCCTGGCCAGGGCACATGCAGGAGGCACCGAATTGATGTGTTTCACATCAATGTCTCTCTCTGTCTTTCCCTCTTGCTTCCACTCTCCCTAAGAAACAGTACAGTGTATTTTCACAAGGTGAACCCTCTCACAGGCCCCGCAACGGAGTGAGAACTAGAGCATCAGTAGCCCCCACAAGCCTTGTGGGGACCCCTTCCCCCACTGCCGGCCCCTCCCACAGGGACCCACCTCCTCATTTCTAACTGCTTAGGTCAGCTTTGCCCAAAACCAAACCAACTTCCAAGTCACTGGCTCTGTAAACCCACAGGGAAGATCATAAGTCATTCATTTATGTCACAGATTGTGGGTTTTGTACTAGTTTGTGTGTTTGTGTATGTTTGTGTTTGTGTGTATTGTGTATGAGTGTGTGTTTGTGTGTTTTTGTGTGTGTTTGTGTATGTTTGTGTGTGTTGTGTTGTATGTGCGTGTCTGAGTGTGCATGGTGTGTTTGTGTATGTGTGTGTTTTTGTGTGTTTGTTGTGTGTTTGTGTGTGTTTATGTATGTTTGTGTGTGTGTTGTGTTGTGTGTGAGTGTGAGTGTGTGTGTGTCTTTGTGTGTGTTTGTGTGTGTGGTGTGTGTGTGTGAGTGTGAGTGTGGTGTTGTGTGTGTGTGTGAGTGTGAGTGTGTGTGTGTGTGAGTGTGTGTGTGTGTGAGTGTGTGTGCAGAGACAGGCCAGACAAGGTCCATCTTCCAGAAGCTCAATGAAGGGCCTGGTGACCGCTTGTACTTGTCAGTTCCCCCCAACCCCCCACCTCCTCCATCATTCCAGCTGCACCGGCTCATCCCCAACATGGCTGGGCAGAGGGGCCATGCACAAAGGGTCAGGGGTCGGCAAAAGTTCACAGGGCGGGACAGTGCTGCTCGAACCCTCAGATGCCCACGGAGCCATTTCTCCAGCTCAGTCTGCAGGGAGAAGAAAACAGCACAACTACCTACAATGAAATGAGGGGCCTGTGGGCACAGGGCGATGCAGACTCCAAATACACAGCGGATTGTCCTGCGTGCCCGGCTTCGAGGGGTTGGTGGACGGTGCACACCCCGGCCAGCTCTCCAGACTTCTGGTTTTCCAAAACCTCCAGGGCTCCCCGGGGCACCTGCCCAGTCGCTTCATTTGTCAGCTCCTCCAGGACACACTCCCTTCATCTCTGCTGGCCCAGCCCCCAGCGCAAGGCCGGTGCCCGGTAGGCGCCCCATCACTGTGTCTGATGAATGAACTCGGTGCACTTCAGGGCAAGGGATGTTCAAATATTCGAAGCCCTGACGCTCCAGGCCGGTGCGTGGACTTTTGAGGCCAGAACTTGAGCGGCGGGTCGGTCACCTTTCGTTGGGGACACTTCCTGTCTCTGAAGTCGGTCTCCTTATCCCTGAATCGGAGATCACATCTCGCAGGGTCCGGCCTGTGGGCACTCAAAAGGCTGCTATAAAGAGCTGTGGGCTCACAGCGCTCACTGTGTTTTAAAGGTCTCCTGGCCCAGGGGATGAGCGTCCAACCATGAACCAGGAGGTCACGGTTCGATTCCTGGCCAGGGCACATGCCTGGGTTGCGGGCTCCATCTCCAGTGTGGGGTGTGTAGGAGGCAGCCGATCAATGATTCTCTC